CACACACACACACACACACACACACACACACACACACACACACACACACTCGTCGAATACATAAACACAGACCTCTCTGTTCTCTCTCTCTGTTCCACCATTTTGATGTTTGGTCCCACATGACATCCCGCATGTCACCCCCTGCTGTTTGCGTCCATTCCAACGTGAGGGAAAAATTCATATATGAACTGTAACGAGCTCTCGGAATTCGAAATATAAAGAATAGAAGCACATCAGACGAAACTCCAATTCACGTCCTGAATAGAGATTTTTGATTATCGGCCGTAATATTTTAACCATCCAAAGCAGACTCTCCACAAACACGCTTGCAACTGCTCAACATCCCATACCATTGTAATACGCCAGCATACAAGCAGCCCTGGTTTCACCTGAGGGTCGTCATGAAACCATGAGAGCAGACCATGTTCTATCATAGGCGTTAATCATTGAACCTCGTGAATCAGAGCCATCGTTACTGAGCAAAGTGACCACACATCATTCGCTGCTTCACTTAGATTCCTGCATCTTCCCCACTTACTGTGCAATTAAGCTTTTTCCCCAGCGTGCCCGTTCTACAGAGCAGCATGAGTCACCCTCAGCCGGAGCTAACGCCCATTCAGCACAGACAGTGAAAAACAGGCAGCTTAGATTTGACAGAGTTTTTAGTGCGTTCAGTATTTGTGATTTTCCCACTGGGTTTAAAGTAGAGACGCAGACGCTAACACAGGCAGCTGCAGAGACTTTAACCTCTTAATACCTGGGCCCCTTTAACCCGGCCCCTGCTCGAATATGTGTCGTGTTGTCCCACAAATAAATAGAAAACATTTATTTTCCTCAGCAGATTTCAGTTCTTTTCAATCAAGAACTTCCTGTTTTGATTTACTTCATCTCTTTATCGACTTCTTTCAGTAACTTTTATTCTAACTACGTTTCTTCATGAACGTCTCTCACCTTGAAAACAAACATCTCCCGTCTGAAGAAGGCCACGGTGTTGAAGTTGCCATCGCAGATGTTGGGTTTTCCATTTCCAGGCAGCGCAGGCCGGTCACCGGCCGGACGCGCTGGACGCGCTGGACGGTCGTGCCTGCGCTCGGAGGTGGAGTGTGTGCGTCGAGAAGGTAAAGTGGGCAGTGGCCTGGTAGGTTCCAACATGGCTGTGGGGATACCTGGGAAAAAAACAAAACGCATAGATAACCACATGAATCATTTGCAGGTTTTATGAGACACTGAAGAATATTTTGGAAAACACAGTGAGTTTAGTTGCGTCAACAGTTTTTATGTTGGATCTTCTGAGACGAAGATTAATGGAGAATTCCTCACATGGACATCAGGGACAGAGATAACCCCGAGAACTGAGTCTCACTGAATCTAAAAATATGAGCCTCGTGTGGGAGTTGAGATGTTATGACTGCGAGGAGCAGCACGAATTTCGATGCAAATTGTGGCTCACGCCTCACATCTTTCTATTTGCCTCACAGCTGGAAAATCTCTGGTCAAGAGAACTGTGATGCCGCCTGGAGCAGCAGTTTGTGTTTCAGTGAGTTTTCTGATTTCAAATGAAAATAAAAACTTACCTTATATTAACAACAAGAAATGTTATTTTACATAAAGTCTGTATTGCACAATAAACAGCACTTCACGCGCCAGCGGCCTCATTTGGAAGTGAAAGCGTAACTGAGGGTGGACGGTTGGTTATTTCAGGTGCTGGTGAGACGGAGCAGCGAAGTAAATCAGATGAACTCTCATCAGATAAAATGATCCACACTGAGCACACCAAGTATCAGGACCTTTAATGTTTTAACGGATGATGGGAACTTTCCTGCTGTGAATCGAAGGGAATCAGCGTGAGGAGGAAGAGTTGCTGCTGTAGATATAAAATTGTTTGTTTTTTATCCTTTGTGTCAAAGAAATGTTAAAGTAAATGAAACCAGAAGCTGTCAGGAATATTTCAGGGCTGACAGAACGCGTTCTAGCTGCTGACAGGCCGTCGCTGTGGTTTGTTTATTAAAACAAGAAGAAAAAAAGAGTTTATTGGAATGTGAAGCGTCGTCTCTTCTCTCAAATGGAACAAAGTGTCCCCGGAGTGAACACAAAAGAAAAGACACAAAGTCGCACATTTTCTTTCCAGGCAAACTCTTCTCAGCGCTGCAACTCTCAACATTCCCCCAACGCACCGCTCGGCTGCTGGACGACACTTCTCCATAATTCAGCTGCACTCTGGGCTTTAGGATGAATAATGAATATTCAAGATGTGTCGTTTTCTTTTGCAAGTTTTTACTTTCAGGTTTTAAATTAAGTCAAGTGTTTAGGCAGAGGCTTCCAAAATGAGGCTCACTTTTTGGACCTAAATGTAAAACCCCAGTTTCCTCCTCCCACAGTGCACTGGAAACACTGCAGGAGCTGAAGGCTGCGTTCACACCGACACGTTCCAGCTTCTACATTCTTTTGTCTTGGACATAGAATCAACTGAACACGCTCACATCAGACGCCATCTACAAACCAATCAGAGGCAAGAATCGGTAGACGAGGCCCACGCTGTAACAAATTGCTGTAGTTTCTGCAGCAAAATTCTACAGTTACTTCTTGTTCTGTCATTCTAACGCAAGAGCGCAAGCATGCTAACGCTAGCGCACCAGCGGGGTGAAATGGGATTGGGCCTAAATTGACCATGTAGCAGCCTGGTTTGCGTGCCCCAAAGAAAGTTCGCGACCAGTCCACCTTAGTCACCGCGAACATCAGGTGTTATACAGCCAGCTCTCTGGCGAGAACAATGTTGTCTTCGTTCGTCTATGTACATATTAATCATTTTATCAGATAACGTTAACGAAACAATCACAACGTAAAGCATAACGTGTGACATGTGATTTCATTAAATCAGAGTTCTGCTTTGTGAAACATGACGCAGAATTTAACGGAGGAACAGCACATTTTAGACAACATATGTCTTCAACTGTTTCTACTGTTGGAGGAAAATCTGTGAACATCTCTGCATCATTTAGCTGCAGGTGCAGAGGGAACACAGGTGATCACCAACACACCGGAGGAGACGCTTTTCAGGTGAAATCATTTGTCCTTTATTAGTTATTGCGTCTGACTGTGTCATCATTTTCTGTTGTATTTTAAATTTGGACAGAGCTTAGTTAGCTCAAGTAAACTAAGTTTGTTAGCCTGGCTGCACTCTGCAGAAAAACTGGTCCTCAGGTTGTGGCACAAATGAACGGCACAATGTGGTGTTGGTTCCTACTTTTTTCAGTCTTCGGTCTTTTTTGCTCTTCTCAGGCCAGAAATGTATGTCTGCAAACAGTGTGCTGGTCAGGAAATGTCCAACCAGAGGACCTGCAGCCTTTGGTTATGCTGATGTAACTACAGTATATCACTGCTGGTCAGCTCATGAACACAGCACTGACACACACAATGTCACAACGTCCTGCACCATAAACACACAAATCTACAGTCTCCTCACCATAGATTTTCTGAATCCCCTGCAGGTCATCCAGAGGCAGCTTGAAGTTGTGCGTGTCCATGTACTGGTAGAAAGGAGCCATGATGGCGCTGGGATCGTTGGAGTGCTCCAAACCCAACGCGTGACCCAACTCATGAACCGCCACCAGGAACAAATCATTACCTGAGAGAGAAGATCTGACCATTAGAACACGATGGTAAAAGAAAGGCTGAGAGGTGGAGGTGGAAGAATTAAGAGACAGAAAAACTTTCCACATCACTGTCAGAATTTAAAATCAGATAATCGGATAATTTCACAGTAGGAATCAAACGACTCTGTGCTGCTGATGCATTTCCCAACACAAAGCCTCTCAGTGTAAACACAAGGGAGACGACCAGAGAGCTGCAGTGTGTCTGTGATGGTGTTGACTCATCAGTGCTGGAACTTCAACAGAAGAAACTGAAGCGACTGGATCTGCCTGCGAAAGCAAAGCACGAGCCACTTCTTCAAATGACGCCGCTTGACGGGGATTATTTAAGAGTACGGACAAAACGCTGGTGCTGCATCCAGTAGAATTCAAAGGTTCCCACTCACATTTGTTTTAAATTCATAATCTGTAAATGTATAAATAATGTGCTGCTGCTGCATCAGGGGTTTAAAATAATCCTGTGAACAAGAAAACAGGCTGAATTTAGATCAATCTGACTTGGTTCTGCTCATCTGACTGAGTTTCACGTGCAAAGGAAGCTGCACAGATTTTGCAGTGTGTCAGCTGCTGATTGGCTCAACCAATTAGGTTGTGCGTTCGTGTGTTGTGGGAATGTGTGCTCTGTTTGAACCTGA